AAAAAAAAAAGTAATTAAAATAAAAATATCCACTATACAAATTACATTGCTAAAACCTTGATAAAATATAACAGTTAATAAACATTCCAACAGTACTGGAAATGATTCAGGTAGAAAATAAAATATAAAACAGATATAAACTTTGCAACTCTTCGACAGTAATGACAACACAGCAATATCACAAATATAACAAAGTTTCTAAAGTCCACTCTACAGCGTGCTGAACTGTGACATTTTTAAATGTGGTCAGTGGCTTCCTCTGGAGTTATTGCATTTGTGGGAATTTATGGCCAAAAACAATCATTCATAGTGGACTTTATCCCTAGGAACAGTTCAATGCACTAAAAGAAAAGAAAGATTTTTTTATGCCCTATAACAATACACATCTGAATTAAACTGAGAGGTATGTAGATAGAGTGGGCAAATGATAAAAATCTATATAAAATGTTATAATTGCAGAATATTTCTAATGATCTCAATGCAAGCTGCGACCCTTGGCAAGACACGGCTCTGTCTCTGCTTTTGCAGTTGATGGCAGTGGGTGTAATTTTTCATTCTGGCACAAAAATCTCACAGTGAGACATACTGCAGTTGGAGATCTAAATTCTGCCAACTTAATTTTTCCCAAGAAGACATTGCTTGAAAGGGACATTTCACATGGGAATAGAGCTTTCGGATACTGATCATGAAATCACATGGGAACTTATTTCACTGGTCAAACCTCAGCTTTCTGTGAATGTAAAACACTTGCTCATGTGAGCATAATCATGTTTTTTTTTCTGAATCTACATCAAGGAGGTCTTTAACACGTAGAGAAAGCTTTCTGTATGTTATTTGAAATCTGACGTTCCAGATTGTTTTTTTGTTTTTTTTGAGCCAATCACCTGTCCTGAACCATAAATGTCATGTGACTAATTACACTGGAGCCAAAAGAAAATAAAAGGATGTCGTGACAGTGTTAGCTGGCTGATGGCATTACAAGAATGCACACAGTCCCAACTCTTCAGGGACTCTCTTGAGCTGAAAATAAAATTGAATAAAAAAATAATAAATAATGATATTAAATAAAATAATAATATATAAAATAGTTTTTATGATAAAAGTTGCTTGCAAGCATCATGGCAATTGGATATAAATAAAATATTATTTGTTCTGACAATGAAAATGTAAACAGGAAAAAGACCAATTTGGCTGGTGATGTGAAATTGGTTTGTTTAAAATATATATATATTTTTTCACTGTACAGTGTCTATTGCTAATGAAATAGCATTAAACCATTAATTCCGTTTCAGCAGTGCAGACATGGAAATGATTGACAGACAAATAAACTAAATTAAACTAAGATAAAATAAGTTTATTCAGGAAGATTTATACAAACAAGATCAATCCCGGATGTCTTGGACATCCCATCAAAGTATTCAGAAGTTATGTATTCCCTTATATGGATAAGAAAGAAATATAATTGTAAATATAATTGTTGGGTATGAGGATGGTTATAAGTAAGATGTGCATATGTATTTGTCTAGCTGTGGTTAAAATTTCACACCCAAAATAGCATCTGCAGTGTGTATGTGTAAAAAAGGAAGTACATTAAGTACACATATTTGAGAGATAAAAGAACAGAGAGTAAAGCCTTGAAATAATATTAAAAATAAATCAAAAATAAAATAAAATAATCTTTGTTTTGACAATGAAAATATGAATGGGAAAAAAGACAAATTTGGCTGATGTTGTAAAGAGTCAATCCACTAAAGGCGAGCGTAAGTGAGAACCCAA